GTGAAGATATTTATATTGAAAATTTCTGAACTTAGTGTCAATCGTTGTTGATAGAATGTTTTTGTATGTTTTTTCCCAACATATATTTTCGTTTTCAAATATATTTTCCCACTTATTTTTCTGAAGTATTTTTTGATAATGTTATCTCGTTTTAACTGATGTTCATATAGAAATTTATTGGTTTCATTTGTTTTAATAAATGACGCTATAATATATCTGTTTGGGGTATTGATATTGACGTTGTCTAGATTGATACCTGTAATGACGTCAGGATGTATACTTCTTATTAAAGTCTGATATTTGAGGTAATCTGCATCAGGGATTTGATAAATTGTTTAAAATTTTCAAAAGTGTAAAATTGATCAATTCTAAAGTCAAACAGATGTTCCAAATACACAATACCCTTTTTCATACCAAGACTTATAGAAGAATGATTTTTCATTTGATGTTATTTTCATATTATTCCAAATTATTTGTTTATTTGGGTTATTACATTTTGGTATGACTTTTATTTGGTTCCAGGATGAAATTATATCTCTTAAAAATGGATAACTTTTTAAATTTGCTTTGTATAAATTTGTCATTTATTTCACATTCAAAAAGTAACTTGCCTCCGTATCTGTCTAATTGAGATAAGTATATAGATTTTATTAAAGATGTCGAATCATCATTTATAATTTTTTTTCACCCAGCTCGCCTTTATTGATAATATATATTTTCTCAAATCAATCATTTTTATTCCCCCATTTTCATATTTTTTCTTCAATGTATCCCTTTTTATCTTTTCTGGTTTATTATCCCAAATGAAATCAAACATACATTTTTCTAAAGTTTTTATAATTTTCAAGCTAGGTAAAGGTAATACAGATAAAGCATAGATCAGTTTTGGTAAAGCAAAAGATTTGATGACAGTAACTTTTCCAAGAAGTGTAAGTTTTCGGTGTTGCCATTTGTTTTAAACAATTTTTAAAAGCATCAATTTTAGGTTCTAAATTCTTTTGGAGAGTTAAAGTAGAGTTTGTACAAAATGTCATACCTAAAGATTTTTGCATTGTCAGAAGTCCATTGGAAATTTCGATTTCGGCAATATTTAGTTTCGGAGTTTCTTAATGAGCCTACTTTTAATACGTTACATTTCTTTTCATTTAATTTTAGGCCTGATATTTTATTGAAATCATCGAGTATTTCAATTAATGTTTCGAAAGATTCTTTGAACCATCAGTTACAAAAGTTGCATCATCCGCAAATAACACATTTTTAATCTCGATTCCATTTATGTTTATGCCTTTTTATTTTTTCATGTTTACATATACAGTTTGAAAGGAGTTCGATGCATACAATAAATATATACGGAGAAAGTGGACATCCTTGACGTACACCTCTATGTATTTTAAAGAAATCTGACATGTGTCCGTTATTGATAACACAGCTTTGTGGGTCATTGTATAAAAGTTTTATCCATTGGATTATTGTATTGCCAAAATTAAAAAATTCCAAAACTTGAAAAATAAAGTTATGGTTGATACTATCAAAGGCTTTTTCAAAGTCTGTAAAAAATAAAAGTGTAATCTTGGTCCTTTTTTTTCCATTTGTTCTAATACTTCAAATATCGTCCGTATATTTTTTCTCCAATGTATCTATCTTTAATGAACCCGGATTGATTTTGACTAATGATTAAAGGTAAAACTTTTTTCATTCTATTTGCTATAACTTTTGCTATTATTTTATAATCAATATTTAAAAGACTTATTGGACGCCAGTTTTTCTAAGAAAAAGAGTATCTTTGTTTGTTTTGGTAACAGAGTGATGATACTTTGTTTCTGAAGATCAGTCAAATTTTAATTTCAAATGAATGTTTAATTAGAGTTAATGTAGTAATAATTTTATATCCATTCCAAAAGATTTTATAAAATTCTTTGTTAATCCATCTGATCCAGGACTTTTATTATTATTCATATATTTTTTAGAGCTGTTGTAAATTCGAGTTCAGTAAGTTCGCTATCTAGAGATGTCCGTTCTATATCCACTTACTTTTGGTATAGTTGGATCCATAAAATTAAATTTAGTTGTTTTTGTTCAACCTCTTTATAAAGAATTTTATAGAAGCGTTTCTGCTCTTCTATTATTTCATTTTGTTTTGAGATTATTCGGCCACTAACTTCTATTTGAATCATAACCTTTTTTCAAAGTTTCTTTTTTCTAAATTTGCAAACAATTTACTATTTTTCTCATTATATTCAACATTTAACGCTTTTGATCTTAATATTATTCCATTTATCTTCTTATTCGTAGATTTCGTTTAACTCTTCTTTATTTTTTTCTATTTCTGACTTTATTTTATCAATATCATTGTTTAAGGACAAGAACTTAATGTCTGTTCTAAGTTAAATAATTTTAAATTTATTTCTTTTTCCCTTTTTTTCATCATCTTGTTGGTTTTACTTGCAAACTTAATAGTTTTTCGTTTTTCTAATATTTTCCTTTCATTATTTCCCACATTGTATTTGGATTTGCACCTGCATTTATCATAGCGGTTTCATCAATAATTTTTCGTATAACGTTTTTGGTATTCATGTTTAAGTAGTAAACTGTTATTAATTTTAAAGTTACCTTTTCCTTTTGTATGAATATGCGTGTTCATTGATAGTGTAACTCTAGAGTGGTCCGATTTATATCCATTTTCAATTTTACATAGGCAAACATTATTTAAAAGATTTTCTGAAATTAAAAAAAAATCAAGTCTACAGAATATAGCAGGTTTGTCATGTGAATGCCATGTGAACTGACGTTTATGTGGGTTTTTAGTTCTCCAAATATCAAAAACGCTATATTTTTCAATTATGTCCTTAAGTTTTTGTCTGCATTTTTTGTGGCCATCTTTTTCTACCATTCTTTTTGTCTATTTCTGTATCTAAAACTAGTGTTGATATCACCACCTATTATAATTTTTTTCTCTTCATGTTCAAAATAAATTTATCTAGCTGTTCAAAAATTGAGATATCATCATTATTTGGTCCATAAATATTTATTACTATATATGTGTTCATTGTCTGTTCAAACTCAATTGCTATTAATCTACCACAAACTATTTCTGTATATGTTATGTTTTTGCAATCGAATTTGCTGTTAATTAAGAAGCATACGCCGGCACTATTATTAGTATTTCCAATGAAATAAGCCCGTCCATCCCAATCTGATGTCCATTTAAGATATTGTTTTGTGTTTAAATGCGTTTCTTGTAAAAGACATATGTCATACATTTTTGTAAATTAAGCCAATTAAAAACCTGCTTCCTTTTCATATAATTTCCCAAACCTCTTACATTAAAAAGTAACAAATTTTTCATACTCATTTCAATTCAATGTGAAGCTTTACGTTCAAAAACAGTAGATGATCTTATATAAAAAAGCTTAAGAGACAAAAACATATTGTTGAGTTTACATGTAAAAAATCCATCATGTCGCAAAACATTATCAAACAAAACATCAAAAGCATGTATTTACTCACGCACGCACACACACAGACACACACGCACTCACATACACCCACACATATATATATGCATGTGTACAGATATTAAGTATTTACACATTAAGCACAAAAAAAATCTTTCTTCAAGGCGAAAGAAAATATCTGTACATTTTTCCGGATCTTATATAAAATATTTTTGGAGAATTGCTACGACTAGTTTTTCATTTTCGTTTTTTTGGTTTTCTAGTGCTTTTTCAAGCTCTTTAACCTCTAGTTTTAAAACTTCATTTTCAGTTTCCTTTTCAAATAATTTTCCTTCAAGAATGTCGATTCTTTTACTAACAGATGATAGCATTTCTTCTTTCAGTTGACTGAACATGTTTTTTATCATATCTCTTAAACTACCATCATCTTTTGTGTACACTTTTGAAAGCTTCAAGTTTATCTCTTTTAACTGTTTGTTAATTTTGTTTAGTTGTTGTGTATCAGTTTCTTGTATTAATGTGTCATCCTCAATATCTTGTTTACCTTTCTTCTTTTTCTTCTTTTTCTGTTTTTCTCCTATTGTACACATACCTGTACTAGTATCTAATGTGCTACTTACACTACTACATGCGTTTCTTTTCCTTTTTTTCTCATCGTTCATTTCATCATTTTCATCAGAACAAGAGTAATTTTTTTCTTTAATATTTGACATTTTAATCAATTTCTATATATTCAATATTGAACGGTTAGACACTGTGGTTTTCAAATATCTGCCTGGTTCCCATTTAGCAATAGGAAATATTTCATGACTTTTTCGTGCAGAATGATTTTTCAGTTACCTCAGTTCAATAATGCGCTATCTCTGTGCGAAACGATATAGCAGCTAGCTCGTTTTTGCGACATGATGAATTTGGCTATTTATAGAGACATAATGTACCAATATTTTTTAGTAGTTCAGAAACGTTTTTTATAGAAATTATAGTTACCAAAGTATATCCTCATACAAAAACTTATATCTATATATCGTTAAGACACATTTTATATAACACTTTGCACTTATTTATTGTTTATATATCCTTATATGTCCTTAAATTCGTTGTCGTAAAATATGAAGACAATCCATTCATATATACATAGTAACTGCCAAATATTGTAAACATCAAAACAAAATCATTGATTTTGCGTCCAAGGTCAGGTCATTGATGATTGAAGATAATAATAAATCAAGTTTACTTGAATGGTGTGTCCAAACATGTAGACAATCCATTTAATCAAAACTATCAAAGTTACAGCCAACTATCTCAAAAATCAAGCAAAAGTCAAACATTTGACCTTGAAGGTCAAGATCATTTCATGACAAATTAGGGTTGGTATATCTATACATAGGGTTGCTGTGTCTAAGTATAAAGACAATCCATTTCTGGACAGTCACGAAGCCTGACTGTACAATGTAGCAATAAGTCAAAAAATTTCTTCGCAATAGCCGATTTAAGAATGGGTTAGAAAATTATAATGATTTCTAAATGGAAAGAACCAAACACATGTTATTTCAGCATATTTATTATACAAAATGAAAACATAAATTGTATTCTGTGTAACCATTGACGATTTTGTGATACAAATGTACATAGGTTATCACTACATTTAAGAAAAAACAAAGAATTTCTATTTAATAAATATTATTAAATAGCATTGTATTCCATGTGTATTCCTCACATCAATTATAAAAACAAAGTAACTTATTTAAAAGTAAAAGTGTTCCAATATAATGTCCCTTTGAAAGTGTTTATTTTCTATTCATAGTGTTTTCAACAATGTTGAAACAAGATATGAAACTTTTTTATCAAGCACAGATATATAATTTGACAATGTGGTCAATACCGCTTTTAATGAACATAAACATGTACTACAGAAACACATGAAACAAGTGGGCCATCATGGCCCTGAAATCGCTCACCTGTATATAGGCCCCTAGGCCAAGGCCATTTTTAAACCAGGGGTTTATTTGAACAAACTTGGTTGACAACTATGTTTCATGATTTATATCTAAGCTCTAGCTCTTTGGGGTTTTTATGAGAAGGTTTCTTTAATTTTTTACTAAATACATATAGGGAAAAATAATACCCCCCTGGGTGGGGTCAATTTTGACCCCAGGGCTTTTATTTAAAGATACTTGGTAGGCACACACTAGAAGATATTTCATGCTTAGCATCTAAACTCTAGCACTATGGATTTTTTATAAGAATATTTTTTAAGTTTTTACTATACACATATAAGGAAAATCAAAGACCCCTGGGACGGGGCAAATTTTACCCAAGGGCCCTTACATGAACAAGCTTGGAAGACACCTGTTAGAAGATGTTTCATGCTGTATATTTTAGATCTATCACTTTTGGGTTTTTAAAAGAAGATTGTTTAAGTTATACTATATACATAAAGGGAAAAACAAAGACCCCCTGCGGCGAGGCCAATTTTTACCCTATGGCTTTTATTTGAACAAACTTGGTATACACCCACTAGAAGATGTTTCATGCTTTATATCTAAGCCCTAGTTACTAGTATTTGTGTTTTTTTTAAATAAGATTTTTAAAGTTTTTACTATGTACAAATAAGGAACATCAATGACCCCCGGGGCGGGGTCAATTTTGACCCAATGGCATTTATTTGATAAATATTGGTAGACACTGACTAGATGATGTTTCATGCCAAATATTTAAGCTCTAGCTCTTATGGTTTTCTAAAAGAAGATATTACGTTTTTTCTTTCGGTTGCCATGGCAACCAGAGTTCTGCTTGGAATTAAATTCTTTGAACATTTTTGAATTTGACTACCAAAAAAAACATTCCTGTGAAGTTTGAATGAAATTGGTTTAGCAGTTTATAGGATGACGTCGTTTAAAGTAAAAGTTTACGGACGGACAGACGAAAAGCGATCACAAAAGCTCACCATGTCACTTTGTGACAGGTGAGCTTAAAAGACTAACATGTTTTTAATCAAAAACAAAATTTCAATAACAGAAGTACCTTGCAAGGTTAAAACGATTTTATCTCCTTACTAGGGTTAATTGATCGAATATCATAATAAACATTTTTTATAGATAAGTATCTTTAATTAGAGACTACATCATTCAATTCACTATTACAGACTGTATGTATATAAAGTGTTACCATGATGGAACACATAAATAAAAGAAGACAAAAAATCAAACTTTTAAAACATTGATTACAAAAAGTTATGAAAGTAACCATCTGGGAAAAGAACAGAAAGTAAATCGGATATCATTATTTTCTTAGCACATTATCATTTGGACATTTACAGTGCATCAAACAAACAAATAGGTATTTGTTAAAATATGATGTTTTTATTTATTGTCTAACAATAATAAATTTATTAAGTTTATTTTACCATACGTGTACATGTCCCTGCTGTTATAAACCAAACCATGCCATCCATAACAATTTTTTTAACTCCAATTATGTGTCTTAATGAATAATTATGAATGCTTATTTCATGAATCGTTGTGAGGAGAGGCAAACAAGAATTAATGTAACCGAATGCATCAAACAAATAAATTGCTCTTTCCTTTAAAGCTGCATGCCTTGATTAATCGAGAAAAACAGTTAAAAAAAGATCAAACAACTTGAGAAAAAATGTACTAAAAAAGTAAAAACAATTTAAGAGTCAAGTGTGATAAATTACTCGTTTTACATAATTTATCACGTGACTAATGCAGTTAGTATTTTTGCATATTTTGACATTTTTAATGTGTAATTTACATGGATTGTAAGTGCTGTTTGCAAAGCATGAAAATGTATCTAATTGTAACGTATACCGTAGTGTACAAAGGAAGTAATTTTGCTTTGCAAACAGCACTTACAATCTAAAAAAATGGACAATATTGTTTTCAAAACAAACTTAAGACATCATTGACCACAAACACAGTTCGAGTTGAAAAAATATTGACTTCATTCTCTCATTAATATTCTGTTTAACATAAGAAGACAGTCATTTCATTAAAAGTGGAGAATTCTCTTATTATAAGGTACAAAGAAACATTAAGGGTCGCTCATTAGCTTTCCAGCTTTTTCAGTGAAAGGACTCCTTCAGACAGAAGGACGTTGTTGTACGAAGGTGCCTGCCTGTGCCTTTCTTTCATAAAACACGAAGGACATCTGAGAAAAATCACCTCAGTGTTGTTATACCTGGTGTTCCTTCTCCAAAATGAATTGACTTATTAATGTCATGTATTTATTTCTTCATTCTTATTTCATTTCATTTCCTTTGGGGGGCACACGTAGGTTTACTGTCTCACCAACACTGTATAGCTTCTAAGGCAACAATTCAGCTTTACTGGTAGAAGAAGACCACAGGTGGTTGTCCATGCATTATTTCTGGCACAAGCGTGCACCACAGACTGACCGGCGAACTTGCATGGCAAAGTGATTCCAGTATAGTCTCCTCCAAAATATGTGGGGGTATTATAGATTTTTACTTGTATTATGGCCGTGGTTTTAAACAAAATTGAAACCAAAATTTAAGTAATTCTGCAAAAATGCAAAGAAAAAATATATATTTAGATATCATAAGACATACTTTTATCCCTAAAGGCTTATCTTTCAGAACCAACATAAACTACATAAGCTAGCAAGTCACAAGCTTTTCATTTCTTCTTGCCTACAACTCTTAATGGTTCAGCTACACCTTTAGACAGAAGTCCACCATCACTACTATTATAAAGTGGAGGCCATACCAAAAAATCTATTGTTTGTCCAGATTGACTGTACACTGTATACATATTTGCATCAAACTTCTCGCCTTGTTTGACATCCATTTTCATCAACAAAGGAGGGTCATGCAGGGCCATAAGCCAGCAAATCTCAGCACATTTCTGTAAATAAGGTGTACACGCTTCTACGTGCTTCTTATCAAATTCCCTTTTGTCCCTTTTATCCCATGTCTTAGAGTCTGCAAGCAATGCCTACAATGAAATAAATTTTAAAAATATTTAAGCAATCTTCTCATTCAAATATTTTTTGTTAAAAAATCCAGTTAAAAGAAAACAAACTTTCTGTAGCAGAGAAAAGTGACTACGTGATTTTTTACTCTAGAGTTAATTTAAACTTGGTTAAAAAAAACTGGCTCAATGTCCACAATAGGGCATGCCAAATGTACATTATATAACAGTCTATCATCTTACATCTATCTTAGTGAAAACACAGTGACATTTGTAAGTTTATCAGCCACCTATAAAACTCATCAAAATGAATACTGAAAAACAATACATTAACTAGAAGGGTTTGTTGTCACAAAACATATGTCCCAAAAACAATGTATGGTACTGATCACTCCTGTGAATTTTGGTCAAATTCCCGCTAGCAGTTTGACCTTTGAAAGCCGGGCAAGATTTTTCTATTGATAGCTCTGACGGCCATGTTGTGCCTCAAACGGAACATGCCGGCGATATGCACAATTACGGATGTTACTGATCACTCCTGGGAAGTTTAATTTAAATCACACCAGCAGTTTGACCAGTGAAAGCTTGACAACATTTTTCAATTATAGCTCTGGTGGCCTTTCTGTGCAGTGAAGCAGAACGTTCCAGCCATAAGCACATATAGGGATGGTACTGATCACACCTGTATAGTTTCATTGAAAATTAACGGCGGCTCAACCTGTGAAAGCCGGACAAGGCTTTTCTATTTTTAACTCTGGCGACCTTTTTTGTGCAGCTGAGAGGAACGTGCCAGCGATATGCACAACTAGGAGTGGTACTGATCACTTCTGTGAAGTAACATTGAAATCCCACCAGCAGTTTGACCTGTGAAAGGGAAGGCAACATTTTTCTACTGAAAGCTCTAGCAGCCATTTTGTGCTGCTGAGTGGAATATCCTGGCGATATGCACATGTAGGGATAGTACTGATCTTTCCTATGAACTTTCATTAAAATTCCGCTGGCAGTTTGACCTTTAAAATCCAGACAAGAGTTTTCTATTTATCAATTTAACTATCTTTCTGTGAAAGCAGGATCAGCTGAATGCAGAAGGACGCGTAGGCGAAGGCAAAAAAGTATCTTTTTGGAGACATAATTCATGTGATTGATAAATGTAGTTAAACTTCAATTTCACAACAACGAGTCTGCCATGTTCATTTAATGTTGACATTACCTGTTTAACTTCCTCTATGACAGATGGTGATACTCCAACCCGATTACGTAAATCTTTAAGTGATAGCTGGTCCTTTGATGTAATTATGGGTCTCTCAGTCAGTCCCTGTAAAACATTTTAAGAACTGAGTTCACAATCATCCTTTTAGAACGTGGCAATGACTTTAAAATGGAGACCTGACCTCTATGCGCAACACTTCATCATGATGTCTCACAAATTCATGCATAATGTTTTTAAATCCATCCATCAAAATTGTTTACCAAACAAGAACATCTATACATTTTTAAAAGTCAGAGTGTGACCATTAGCTTTGAGCATCAGACCTCGATCTTGCACATGTCACGTTGCCAAAATATGTTTCATATTTATACAAAATTATCTTTATTTCTATCAACTTATGGCCGCAAATTTCGGATGGACAGGGGGACATACCAATTATAAAAAAAAATATGTAATGAAAGTGAGCCCAAGGGCGGGCCATTTTTGACAAACGTAGCTTGACTTATGTTAGTTTTGTAGTTATATTAGGCAATGCTACATGCCGAGCATCTGCAATTTCACAAACGAAGATTAACATCATTTTCCAATTTTCCTTTCCAATCTGTATAAACTGGATGGGTCTTTTGCAGAGGACAAAAATGTGATGCTTCATGTAAATTATCTAAACTCTTAGCATTGTTCTTTCAACAAAAACATTTTAAAGACAGATCTACACACATGTATCTACCTACATACTTTTATGTTGTTACCTTTCATAGTTCTCTCCTGGACACAATTCAAAGTGTTAAAATGAGCAAAAGGCAATAACACAAAATTAGAGGGTTACGGTTTTTCTGCACTTCTACTCAATGCGTTCTATCTACCTACAAGGTTTTAGATGATACCTTTAATAACCTCAGGTTATGTCCAGAACAAAGTTCAAAGTGTAAAAATGAACAAAGGTCAATAACTCGAAGATTAGGGAAGGCAGAAATATGTTTTTTCGCACTGTACTTCTACTTAATATGATCTATCTACTTACAAAGTTTATTGCTAATACCCCTTGTGGTTTTACAGTCATGTCCCAAACAAAATTTAATGTACAAAGGGCAATAACTCCAAAATATGGTAAGGCATAATTACGCTTCTTTGCAATGCAGTTATACTCAATGAAATCTATCAACCTACAAAGAGTCTTGTAAATACTCCTTTAGGTTTTACAGTTATGGCCCTAACAAAGTACAAAGTGTAAAAATATCTAAGGGCAATAAATTAAAAATTAGGTAGGATAGATTACTGTTCTTTCGAACTACACATCAATTCAGTATACTACATCTTTCATAGTTTTCAAGTTATGTCTAGGACATTTGCAAAGTACGAAAATGAACGAAGGCCAATAACCTAAAATAAGGTAAGGCAGAGTTATGGTTCTTTTGCACTGCACTTCTTCTGAATGAGATCGATCTTCCTACAAATTTCTTGTTAATACACCTTCTGGTTATGTCCTGGACAATGTTCAAAGTGTAAAATAACAAAGAACAATAACTCCAAATTATGCAAAGCATTATGGTTCATTTGCATTGCACTTCTTCTAAATGAGATCTATCTACCTACAAATTTTATTGTAAATACCCCTAGTGGTTTTTGAGTTATGTCCCGGACAAAGTTCAAAGTGTAAAAATAAACAAAAGTGCAATTACTCAAAACTAAATCAAGGCAGAGTTATGGAGCATGATTCTAGCTGATTTTACATTCTATGTTTCTAAGTTTTTGGCATTGTACTTTTAGACAAGAAGATTGTTAAGACAATTTAATATCATTTCTTTGTAAACTAGGTGACCCAAGGGCAGGGTCATTTTTGACCCAAGAGACATGTTTTACATAACTATTTCAAAGGACCATAAAATGATGCTTCTTTCAACTATCTTAGGTCTGGGCATTGTAGTTTTTGAGACGACTTTTAAAGATTTCATTTATAAAGTCTCTTTAAGCTTCTGTAATCTTATTATGCATTTGGGTGGAATATTTGTATAACTTTTATGAAGGACAACCTAAGGATCATTCCAATAAAATGGTCAAATTCCGTAGGTGGTTTAGGAAGAGATTTGTTTTGCAAGTGATGAAATACAAATTGCAATCACAAAAGCTCATCTCTGAGTTATTTTTGCTCAGGTATGCCTGTTATTTCCATATTTTAATTTTAAAGTTTGCTTAAGCTTGTGGTAAGGTGCATTTACCATTGTTATCCATGAATTAGCTCAAACAATAACAATTATAGAATTTATTGGTTTAGATTACTATGAGTATTTCCATATTTCTGTGTTTTGAATTCATTTACACATAATACACATAAATGGAAACTGTCCTTTAATTGAGTTATATGTAGCGATATAACTTATAATAATAAGTTTTAAAATAAGTTTTTAAAAACACCTACAGTTTTCTTTTGGTCAAGATTAGCCAGGTTCTGAGCGGGGTGTAGAAACACACTTTGTAAACTGTCCATTTGCGTTGCCATCATGTTATAGCAAAACTTCCAACATTCCTGAAAACCAGAGAGTGACATGCAAGACACATGCCTAGAAAATGCAAAGTTAAAGGTAACTAATATGCTGTTAGAAGCTGTTCTTAATAAATATATCAAATCACTACTTTTGACTTTATCATTTTGACCAAAAAGGAGTAAATCTGGATCAAGAGCAATACATGTGGTGTGGACACTTATCTGTAAAACATGCAAAAAGGGAATAACTCAGGCGGATTGGCACCTGCTGTTAAAAAGGGCACATTTTAGGGCAATGCTAAAGAAATGTAAGGGGTTAAAATTATACATTTTAGGGTACATAAAATAAATTTTAGGGCTTAAATTTTTTGATATTATAACTAATCTCTGGCCCCAAAAGACCACGATATGTGCTTACCTTTGCATATTTGACACACAAGTAACTTACAAATAATGCAGTTTAGATATAGCAAGGGAGTCTACCAGTGTTCCATAGTCATCAGGTGTTGTAGGCTGCGTCCTGAAGAAGTTACATCTTTGTCATCCAGTTTCAACCAACAACAACCTGAATAAATGGATTCACTGGTCAACTGCCTTTAACTGCCTACTCTAAATAATAAGACCTGAAAAACTACATTAAACATAAAAAGGAAAACATTTTCAAAGTAATAAGTTTTTTTATAACAAGATAAAAAATGTAATTTGATATAAAGAACGGACAGTTTTAGGCTTTCCCTTTTGAATTTCCCGTTTTTAAGGATTTTTAAGGAATTTTAGGGACGCTGAGCAGCTTGAATAACTCTAAATATATTGCTTAAGAAATTGTGCCTATTGTTTAAAATCTGCACTTTGTCATGATATACAAGTATAGTACTTTATGTTTCATGTTGATATAAGTACAATGTTTGAATAATGGGTAAACTCAAAGTCTTTCGTATGACGATGACGCTGATAATGACAAAATCAACAATATCATAATAGCTCCATTTTTCTTTAAAACAGACCGGCTGAAAAAATATTATAGGGATTATTATAAAAAAAAAACATTCAACATACACTGACTAGTGTTTTTTGCAACATTAATGATAAGAGTACTTGATAGAAAAATGTTTATACAAAAAATAGTATGCATTACTTGAAGAAGGCGTAGTAGAACATTTATGGCCTCTTTAACAGGTAAGGCTGGCTTCTTATCCGTCAAATTTTCAAAGGCATTAGTCCACTCATCATCGAATAACTGACCAAATTTTTCTGACAGCTTCATAGCTCTGTTAAGATCACTGAGATCTGCTATATCAGCATTCTTCTCCTGTGATTTATTACCAGTTAGCTTACTAAACCTGAGAACAAAAAGAAAAGAACACCAATGTTACTAAAATACATTCATGTTATAATAAGTATTTACTGATCTACATATAAAGGTATTTTATTCTTTTCTTGCACCTTCCTGGAATTGTAACCAAATTAACCCATAGCTACATGTTTATGAAATTATTTCTTTGAATAATTTCAGACATGCTCAAGAAACAGTTGAATAATAAAACAAAATATCAAAAGCAACAACAAGCAGGGGCCAGTCTCAACTTCTTATATCTAAAGGCAAAATCATCATAGATAGAACTTAATAGTAAAGAAACGTTCAAGACAAAGGATCATGATGGCCCTGAAACGTTCACATGAAACAACTTTTTTTCACTGATTTTAGAAATAATTTTTTCAAATAAACTTAATAAGTAAAAAGACAAGTCCAGCTCAACTTCAACTTACTTTTCTAGTTATAAAGTTTCCCGACACTGAGTGTTGTTTTTTTAATTCACAGTTAAAATGATAGGAACCTTTCACAAATGTCCCAGGTTCATTGTAACTGGTCATCTGGTAAGTAAAGCATATCGACTCACGCTACTTGATTTTTTCCATTTTCAGCTCAATGGGCCCCTTAAATAGGGCGGCAAATCAATTTAATTTGAGCAAACTTGATAAAAAAAATCTTTGGTGATCATTCATCCATTAATTTGTGGTAAAATTTGCCAATTATGTCTTTTGGAATAGCCATCTTTTATACTAATCTTAAAATCCGATAATGACATAATTTCAGTATTTAGATTAGAGTATTTACATGTACACTGTTTGTAAGGGTGACACCACGGGTAAATTAATATTTAAGACAACAAAGGTATACAAGTCAACTCGACCAGAAAGTTAATGTTTCAGGTAGAATTTTCTTTAAGTTACTTTCTAATAGAAAATGGGAAAAATTGTCTTTTTCACTACATAGAGGAAAACCGCAAAATGTTGTTTTGGTGAAATGTATTCAGTGAACAAGATAATTATCCTAATAAACCTACCTTTTTACTGGTTTAAAAGTGATATTGTATGAAACAATGCAAAATTATTACCAGGTTTGCAAAATGTGATTCTGAATAGAAAATATTGAAACTGATACTGAAATTGCATAAAGAATAAAAATAAAGACAAATTACCTTAAAACAAGCAAGAAAAACCGTTAAAAATGACATGAGTTCACTTAAACTTAAGTTATGTTCCGTAATGTAAAATGCTAGGTTACTAAAGATTATAAAGTAAAATAAGATAAAAAAAATAATTTTAGCCATCTCTATATCAATGAGAAAAGTTCAAGGTTATTAACGTTAAACTTAAATTTTGAGTGTTTATAATACAACAGACACTACAAATGAGACAATCACCTATCATTTACATAAACATTGACAAAGTCCCTGTTACCAATGATCTGATCTCATGATTTATAAATTTAAGCTTTTTAATTTATGCTATAGATAAAGAATGCCAAAAGATATGAAAGAAAATAATTTAATTCAATTTAGTAACAAAATGCCAAAATATTAAAACATATTTTCCTGAATTTCCCCCAGATGTTCCTTTCTTTTAAAGTTTTTATTATAACTGTGTTAATTACAGGTTCTGCATCCCTATTCTTGACACAAAGGGGCTGCAAATCTCAACAACCAATCCGTTAGAATGTGTTCAAAACTCAATATTATTTACATGAAATGCAATATTATTCAAGCTAAATATTGTTATATTGTAAATAATAAAACAGAACAAAAATCCTCTTTCCATCCTTTATTTAGCTTATCAATAACGATGTCTCTGTCCCAGTTAATAAGGGAACTTTAAAGATTTATCAAGATTATTACCCTTGATCATTAGTAGATATATACTAGATATTGATTTAAATAAATTACAAATGATACAAAATATGACATAATATTTACATAATGCAGCATAATCATTTGAACATATTCCTAACAGTTGATATCTTCAATTCGCATAAGAAATTATACATCTAGTCTGTACATTAAACAAGAGGGCTTAGATGGCCCTTGATCGCTCACCTGAACCATCCGATTTATTACTGAGACAAGCATCATGACCAAGTTTGATGACAATTGAGCCAAAAATATGACCACTAGTGTTACCAAGGTTTTTCATTACTTGGGCAGTGTGACCTAGTTTCTTTACCCCAGGTGACCAATATTTATTTGAATCATCAAAGCACACTTTCAGACCAATTTCCAGGATATTTGGATCAAAACAGGAGCCACTAGAGTGTTAACAAGATTTTTCTTTTTTAGCTCCTGTGACCTGGTTTTTTTATCCGAGATGACCCATGTTCAAATCCGTCCGAGCAATTAGTTAGACAAGACTTCTGACCAAGTTTGATGTTAATTGAGTCAAACATGTGACCAATAGAGTGTTAACAAGGTTTTTCCATGTTTGGGCAGTTTTAATCCCAGGTAACCCATATTCAAACTTGATCTAAAAATAATACAAAAATTTCTTCAGACCAATTTCCAGGATATTTTGATCAAAACAATAGCAACTTGAGAGTTAACAATATTTTTCTATTTTTTATGCCCGAAAGAATTTCGGGCATATTATGTTATACCCCCTGGCGTCCGTCCGTCTGTCTGTCTGTCCGAGCAAACATTTTGGGTTTAGGGGCTATATAACAGTAAAGAGAACAAAAGAGAACAATAGGTTCATTCCGTGATCAAAGGGTTTATGGGCTAGTAGCCCTTAAGAAAACAAAGAAAATAACAAAGAAAATAGCCCCTAAACCCAAAATGTTGGAACGTCCGTCCGTCCGTCTGTCCGAGCAACCAAATAGTGTTGGGGGGGGCATCTAACAGTAAGCAGAACAAAAGAGAACAATAGAGTTCATTCCGTAACAATAGAAAAAGGGGCCATGGCCCTCTATTAAACAAAAGAAAATAACAAAAGAAGTGACCCTTTAGTCCATTTAAGTGGCACGTCCGTCCGTCTATTAGCAATTTGGTTTCCGGAGCATAACTTCAGTTCCATTTTGCCCACAATATTCAATCTTCATAAGATGATTGTAGAAAACCCCTATTGATTTTGGGGTCACAAGGTCAAAGGTCATTATTACTTTAAAACTGAAAGCAGTTTCCGGAGCATAACTTAACTTCCATGTGGCTTACAATATTCAAACTTCATAGGATGATTGTCCATTTTGGGTAGAAGACCCCTATTGATTTGCGGCTCACAAAGTCAAAGGTGAATGTCACTATTACCTAAAAACTGAAAACAGTTTCCGGAACATATCTTAAGTTCCATTTGGCCCACAGTTTTCAAACTTCATAGGATGATTGTCCATATTCACGCTGTCAAAGGTATACGCATCATTTTTTTTCGCGTACCGTCGATAATTTATCATCCTGTGTGCAGTACTGTATCATTTTAGACAAAATAACCAATGAAACACAACATGCCTGTTGGAAAACGACCTGAAAGTCACACTTTTGAAGTAAGTGTATCCATAAAATTGTGTCTACGGAATATTATGATCATTGAAGCTAATGTTTTCACATAGTTTTTATCAAAGACTTGTACGATTTCTTTGTTTTTATGAGAACAGCTAGAGCTGGCTTGGGGAAAATGATCATTTGGAAAACTTTTAAAATGAGAAAATTATGTTGTCAATCAAAATATTTATTTGATATAACTGTAAGCATTAAAGATATCTATACACATAATATTGCACACAAACTAAAGCTGTTGCGTTCTTAAACAAGTCAGAAAAAGTGTCACATCTGACCGAGTTTTTGGTACCGTATTATCGGTCCGCACCAAAAATTGTGGCACCGTATACATTAGTGCTAGACTTGCACCGCATCATGCTGATTAGTCTAATGGTGAATAATCTTATTTGTATTTATTAATTGATGCCCATCTGGGCGAGGCCTGTACATGTATATTTTATTATTTATAAACCGGAGGAAAATGCATAAATACTATTCAGTTCTAGAAGCAAACCTGGTTCTTTTGTGTGCCCGGCGTAAACACATGGGACCAAGGTCATATGCGAAATAATTTGAGTCTATACTTTATTATTAAAATCAGTTCGGTGAAGACAATCAGAGTAAAAATTGCTAACTTTCTTGTACATGTAAAAAAGCAAGTTTATAGTGAAAATGTTATGTATATGTAACACAAATATGCATAATTATATAATTGTTACCATTTTATACATACTATTTGAGATAGTGCTTACGGGGGGAGTTTCTAAAAAAACTTTTCAAGCTTCCTACCCAATCCGTGCAATTTAATATTTGTCAATTATCATGTAAATGGTATGTTTATAAATAAAATATTGTATAAACTAAAGAATTTGAGTAAATACATTAGAAGAGTAAGAAATCGAACCCGTGACTTCTAGACTGAAACGTCCGACTTGGAATTCAGGCATCGCCTGTCGATGTGAGCCCATACCCCGCCAGCGACCATCCCATGTTTCTTAAGCAAAAAACTTACATTGTTGTGCTTTAAGTTATATATAAGTTTTGTAATAGTCTATCAATAACTGGAACTACAGGCCTTAGGGAAAATACAAGCATGCCGACACAGGAATGTTATTGATACAGTACGAGTTTTCCTTCAAAAGTGCCTTCCTACAGACATAAGAAGACAATTTTGAAGAAAATACAATTAACTGTAGCTGACTTATACGACGTTTAATTGCAAAGAACCGATAAATTAATAAACCGATTTAATTATGAATAGATCTATGTATGTTCAAGTTGAAAATATAAAACGATAGAAAATATGTGCATGGCCTTTAAGCTTTGGGCAGTGAAAGGTGAAGGAAAATTGTATTTGCACGGAACTTACGTATACTTATTTCAATCAGACACAATTCACTTTCATTCATGATAAACAATGTTAAAATGGCTGCCATCAATTAACAGAATGTCAAATTTACTTAAATCGATTATGTCAGTCAACATTGAAATCGTCTCTAACCTGTTTTGCGTCAGTGTTATATGGATTACGTTTTGGA